TACTACTACTACTACTAATAATAATAATAATAATAATAATATAATACCTGGCTTATATCTTTTGACATCATTTAAGCTGGTAACATCATTGCATCCTAAGCACAAAATTATCCACTGTGTGATGAAAAGACTTCCCATCAAGTCTAAGGAAACCTGATGCTGGAAGATAGTAATATTTTTCCCTTTATTCCCTTTCTCCATTTTAAAAATCTGTCATAATTCCCCTTCTGCTTAGGTGTCTTTTTGTAAACTATGCAAATGTTTAATCTGTGTTTGTAAGGTAAATTCTTTAACTCTTCAATCATCTTAATTTGCCTTCTTTTTGCGTTAGTTTCAGCACTGTGAAATCCATTTTCAGCTGTGGTGATAAATAAAGTTAACATTTTCTTAAACAATGCTATAAATAGCATTGTTATGTGCTTCTGAACTTGCACCCGCTGACAGCCCAGTTCTAATTTAGACCCATCTTTTAACCTAAATATTTCTTGGTCAAGACAACAGTCTTGCTGACTCCTCAAAGATATATCAGAGTCAAACTAAGACCTGCTCCCGGTATGACCCATTGACCATTGACCACTCGTTTATGCATTCTGGGCTTTGACTATTTGCCATGAGCTAGTTTCTTTGTGCTTCCTTGACACACACACGTTTGGTTGTCTTCTTGTTGATGCACTTCATCATCATTGCTGTCTCATGACAACTTCAGCAAAGGACATGGAAGAATTCAGAGGCTATAATTTGTGGATTTGGCCATAATTTTGATGCACTTTAAATTATCATTATGCAGTGCTAAAGAATTAAAATAAAAAGATGTTCATGGAAAGTTACAGAAATCACTGTAAAAAAAAATCTCTTAACAATAAATGGAGCTGTTGTGACAGTTCCCTGGAAACTTTTTTAAATTGAAAATTGAAGCTAGAAGAAATGAATTAAAAAGAAGATATTCCATTAATGACTTCATGGTTTTGCGAAAAAATCATAAAAGTGCAGACCTATATATGTGATCTCAGAAGTAGGTTAGGCTAAGAACTAAGCAAATATGTAAAGTGTTGCAGCTTTAACTTTGGAAATGTCTTATGTTGGATGTTCTCTATGACAGCATCTTCATATTTCAGTAACATTTTTGATTCCATTAAATAAATAAAAATATATAAGCAGTTGGATAATGTATTATTATATAATAAATTAAAAATTATCCTTGGGGCAGAACTGTTTAACCAGCTTGATGCAGTTTAAAAATGATATGCAGCTTTTCTTATATTGGATAACTAAAGACTGCATTCTCATCTTCCAGAAATAAAAAAGGGTGGGGATCAGTTCTTTAGTATCTAACATGGCCTGTATTGTGATTTGATAACTCTTTTTCTTGTGTGATCCAGTTCATTAAATTTTGTTCCTGCAGGTATCGTAAAGGGTTTGAGTTCCAGTCAACTCTGTATTCTGGAATTAACCTTGCAGTTTTGCTGATTGTTTCAGGGCAGCAATTTGAAACTTCCATGGAACTGAGGAAAATAGGTAAAGGGGAAAAGGAAAATATGTGTGGTGATGTCTGTCAGTTCATCACTTCATGGGCTGAATCTACTGTTCTTCCCCCCCCCCCATTGTTCCAGTCACATGAAGTTTCCTTCTGCTTGTTAACCCAGCTGTTTGAATGTCCATAAAAATCCAGTACTTCTCAGCTACTATGTAAACAGCAATTGCAGTAGTATTTTCTAATTTCTAGCTTTAATTCCTGTAGAGAAAAAGATGGGTGCCTTTGGCCAGGTATAAATCTTATTTCCTCTTAAATTAAGGAATGCCACCTGTGTAGTTTGTCCTTCCAGTTAACGTTTGAGATTATAAACCTCATAATCAGAAACACGTTACCCTCTGTTAGGTTTTGGAATAGGATTCTTGTATTCATTTGCATCATCATCTTTTTATATGTTTGTCAAGGAGTACGGTTAAATAGTTTATTGGGAAGAAAAGGGAATCTGGAAAAAATGAACAATTACTGGGATGTTGGACAGTTTTTCACTGTAAGCATGCTGGCCAGTGACATTGGTAAAGCTGTCCAAGCAGCAGAGAGACTTTTCAAATTGAAACCACCCATTTGGTATGTATCACCACATACTTTTTGTAGTCGCCTGTCACATTTACTAGGCTTTGTTAAGTTTTCTCTCAGTTGTAAGTCATGATGGTCAATTTCTCATGTGATGACCTGAGTCCTTGCAAAAGCTTCTTCTTCCAAATTCCCAATACATATCAACACTTTTTGTTTTATTGTGATACTTTGCCTGATGAAGAATGTGAAGAACGTAAGAGTTTGTATAACTATTTATTATAATTTGATTGGTCTTAATAAAGGTATCAACTGGTTACAGATTTGGGGTTTTTCCCCCCATGAACCAATACAGATATGACTTTTCTGCCAAAATAGTTCATATGATAATTTGGCTGAAAATTTTAAATAAAAAATCATTTGTGTTTCTAAAGCAGACTAACTGGGTAAAAATTAGCAGTAGTTAATTGTAAGGTACTGTTTTGAAAACAAATAGACTTTGGAAGGTTGATTATATTATCCATCTATTTAAATACATGATTCCTATAAAAAGACATTTTGACATTAATTTAAAAGAAGCTGTTGGTCATTTTGTTTATTAACTACGTCTATGTGTTTCAGGTATTTGAAATCCTTGGTACAAAATCTGATATTAATTCAACATTTCAAGAAACTGACCATAGAACATTCTCCTAGGCAAGAAAGACTGAACTTCTGGTTGGATATAATTGTTGAGGCAACCAAAGAAAAAAACAATGGGTCAAGATTCCCAGTAAGACTCTACAATTTATAATTTGTTGTGAATTACATGACTGCATTGATACTGGGTTGGAAGTAACGCAAAATGATTGTCTGTTGAACAAACTAGTAGAATAGCATTCCCCTCGAGATTAAGCTGGCTCCCATCCTGTTGGTTTTTCAGAAAGCCATCTATCCCCTGGGGACAGATAGGTGATGAGGGGATGTCAAGCCCCATGTTGCTTGCAAATTCAAGAAGTGAGAACCACATGGATTTCAGAAAGGCATCTTTAATGCTAGTTAAATTAACTAACAAAACATCATATTGAAAAAAGATGATAGTAAGCTCCCAAGAAGACTTCTAGCAAGCCAGTTCACGTGGAGTCTCTTTGAAATGTTTCCTTCCCATGCTTCACACCTGTGGGATATGCTATTCACTGAACTTCTCTTATGCTCGGCTCCCACAGTCTCTGTCAGGGTGACCTCCTGCCATGAATTGCATGTTGCAGCTTCAGGGAGCTATTTTCCATTTTTTTCATTGGTTATGGTGGTTTATATTTTAATGTGTTGTTGTTGTTAGCCATTTGAGAATTGCTGGGTTGAACATACATACATACATAATAAAATGCAATTAGTACAAGAAATTGTATGAACTAAAGCAAGCCTTTTGCACTGAAATAACAAAAGGGTGTCCTATTCAGATTGATTCAGAAGCCAGTAAATTCACTATGCTTTGGTCTCTAATAAATAGGTTTAGGATTATAACACAAGAATTCTGTTTCTCATTTTGAAAACTGGATGTTGACTGCATATCTGTTTGAGTATGTACTTCATAGGACATGTTTCTTTTATTTAGGTATTAGTGATAGAGCCAACCAAGATATATCAGCCTGCGTATGTTTCAATCAATAATGAAGCTGATGAGAGGACAGTTTCCCTTTGGCATGTGTCCCCTGCAGAAATGGTAAGATTAGCTAGGAATTTTCTTAACGCTTTAGACATTATTTATTTGAAAATCTGCCTGCTGTTCTTTCAGGAGCTTTTAATTAGTGTTTCACAAAGATGTTAAAAGGCACATAACAAATTTGAACTATGTATTGCTTCTCTATTTTCAAAATGGTTCTATCATATGAAATCATATATGAGTTGGATCCTAGGTGCCTTTTCTTGTATAAACCAACTTACATACTTAGACCTGTTCTGTGCCCTCTGAGGATTTCAATGATTTTATTCCTAGTTCTTCAGATGGAAAACAAACCTATAAACAAAGAGTATCCAGTACAGTGGTACCTCTAGTTATGAACTTAATCCATTCCGTGACTCTGGTTGCAACTTGAGTTGGTCTCAAGTCGAGGTAAAGT